TTTCTTGATTGACTGAAAATTGCGACAGAACTGTCCTGATGATGGGTCGTTACGTTGAGCCTATCGAAGATGTGCCTTGTGGAAACATCTGTGGTCTCGTTGGTGTCGATCAGTACATTGTTAAAAGCGGCACGATCACAACCTACAAGGACGCACACAATCTAAGAGTAGGCATTTCCTTGCCCTTGTTTGCGATTAGTCACACGTATTCGTTGCCACAGGTGATGAAGTTCAGCGTTAGTCCCGTGGTTCGTGTTGCGGTGGAGCCGCAGAACCCGGCGGACCTGCCAAAACTTGTTGAGGGCTTGAAGCGCCTCGCCAAGTCTGACCCTATGGTTCAGGTACCGCTGTTATTTATGTCTAGCGTGTTTTTGGTGTCATTCATCGTAGTCTTTTGATTCAGTGCTTTTTCGAAGAATCCGGGGAACACATCGTTGCAGGGGCTGGAGAACTGCATTTAGAGATCTGTCTGAAGGATTTAGAAGAAGATCACGCTTGTATTCCATTGAAAAAGTCTGACCCCGTGGTTTCGTACAGGTAAGAACATTTGTTGTAATATTGACATATTCATTGGTTTATTATCAACTGTCGATAACTGTGGTTCAGCCTCATGACATGCTTTTTAGTTTGTTGCGTTTTTTATCAGGATTTCTAAAAAGGCATGAAGTGTTCATGTGGTTATGTTCAGCACACAGGCTTCCGAGATGCCTTCGTTTGTTGTTTCTTGTTGTTTGTGAGTCATTTCGTTTTTAAGTTTTTTTTTCAAGGTCAAGTGAATGGTAAAGCTTACTCTTTTAAAAATTAGCCAGCAATCTGATTGAGCATAGGGATATGTAATATTGAACATCTGATATCGTCTTGCCTTAAGATTGAACCCAGTTTGCGGAAGGGTTGGATCATTGGGGAAACTTCCGGAAGCTGATTGTGATCTGAGAAGAATTGCTGACTTCGAAAATCTGAGTCTATTAATATTTCTGCTCTCTAACTGAGGAAATGACAGTAAATATGGAATCAGGAGTTATGCCGACATCGACACGATCAGTTGAGGGAAAGCGTAATTCAAAGCCAGATTTTTTGGACCTGCCATAGTCTATCAGCTGCTAGAACTATCTATCATCAGATTAGATGCTTATAGTTTACGTTTCTAGTTTTTATTGTACCTGATTCCGACATGTTACATACTGACTGATAAATTTAAGATAAATTTACGATGCCCACAGTAGCCGCTATTTCCTTTTAACTTGAACTCCAATTTCACATTCTTACATCCTTACCGACCCACAGACTTGAAGTTAAGTTTGCGTTGCTCAGTGACCTAGTTTGAAGAACGGCACAGAACTCGATTTTAATGGCAGCAGCTTCGCCGTATCTGATAAACCTGACTGTCCCTTGTAATCAAACTGGCGGAAGCTTGACTGTTTACTCGCAGAGTGATCCATTCATATGTTACTTAAAAGAATATTTGGCAGCCAAGGCAAACGGGTATTAAAAAGTTTACTTCTAAGTTTAATATGAGAGTATCTCTGCTGAAGCGGTTGTAAAATTTACATTTTGGCTTGGAAAATCCGTCGCAGCTGTTAGAAATAGACTGGATCCCATCTTCAGGTTGCAGTACCTTTGCACCCTGACAAATGAGCGCACTTACGAGTGCGTGTTTGAATGGTTTTAACTTCTTGAAATTGATGACTGTAGTAAAGTCTATTTCGGAATGAGCTAATGCTGCTGATAGTGCTTACAGATTTAAACGTTAGATTCTGCGTTGCTTGGCCTTCCTTTCTTGGAAGTTTAAGAAAGTTCAGAAAGGAAGGCTAAGCAACTGTTTCATGCGAATCCGATCGGCAGAAGCCCCAGGGGTTCCTGGTGCAAATATATGAAAGGATTCTGTTCCAGACTCCAGTTGTCTTCTGCCGAAGCTCAGACTCTGGCACAGGATCGGGAGCGTTGGAACCCTTGTCTGATGCGTCTGCCTCCGCGACCTGAAAGGAGAAGCGGCGATGGAACATGAAGATACTGCGTTTAGGCTTGAAGTTTCACATACCACTTTTTGGACTTTAATTTCATTATTTACACTGATTTTGTAAACGTAGAAATATGTAAATATCTGTTAATTGTATTTGTGTATGCCATAAAGATATTTGTATTTCAAGAGAAAACCGTGTTTTTATGTGTATTTTGTCGCCATGCGCCTTTACTGGGTTGCCCAACTCGTTCGGTGATCTCATACTGTTACTCGTCCACTGTACATTTATGTAACCAAAGATTGGAAGATGAACCGGTAACTTGCTAAAGCGGTGTTTGTTTGGAATCGTTTTAACGAGTAGTGTCTCAGAGGTTGCTGAAAAATTTCTTCGCGGCTTCTCTCTTACCTGTCAATGTAGTATTCTAGAAAGGAGTGAACGCTGTATTTTTAGCCGTTTAAAAAGTATTCCGCATTTCATTACCCGTTAACGAAAATGTCATTTGCTGTTGCTTGACAGTTAAGGAAATTGCTGTTAACTTACGGTTGTGAAATGCAAAGTTTTTAGGGAAACAGTCAGCGCCGAGTCTGATCAGCTCTGTCTGAGCAAGTCTCCCAATAAGCACAACCGACTGTTCATGAAAGCGTTGCCAATGCCTGAAGGATTGGCTGAAGATATCGATAAAGGAACCATTAATCCTCGCGGTGACCTTAAGGAACGAGCCAGGCTCCTTGCAGAGAAGTTCAACATGGACGCTAACGAAGCAAGAAAGATTTGGTGCTTTGGACCTGACGGTACAGGTCCAAATATATTGGTTGATTGTACGAAGGGAGTGCAATACCTCAACGAAATTAAGGACTCTGTAGTGGCAGGTTTCCAGTGGGCTACAAAAGAGGTAAATGTCGTTGAAACTCATGCTGAGTGAAAGTAAAATGATTTATTCCTACTTTGATAAAGGACGTTTATTATTTGATGTTGCTGGAGATGTTTAGCCATGAGATATATTGGCATTCATGACCACGGATCTAACTTTAACTGAAACATTGCAAATTATTTATATAATCAATTGTATATACGATATCATTAAATGTTTTAAATTTTGAACTTGATTCTCATAAAACACTCGTTTTGTTTGTAATGATGTGTTGCTTCCGTTCTCTGCAAATTTTTGCACACTGCTAAACACTTCATTTGCTGTAAAATTTGTATTTTAATAATTAATGGTTTAAATTGTCTTTGCGTAAATTTCCTGGAAGCAGTGTACCGCATTTCAAACGATCTCTGTTTTTAACAATGTTTTTAGGGTGTTCTTTGTGAAGAAAATCTTCGCAGTGTTCGTTTCGACATTCACGACGTCACGCTACACGCTGACGCCATTCACCGCGGTGGCGGTCAGATTATTCCGACCGCTCGCCGGTGTTTGTATGCGTCCATTTTGACCGCTCAGCCTCGTTTGTTGGAGCCAATCTATTTGGTAGAAATTCAGTGTCCTGAAGTAAGTCATTTTTGTCTTTGAATGAAGTATGATTAAAATCTCTCGTTTGAAGTTGAACTGATGATGACAGATCTCAGAATCGAAATATTCATCAAAAAGTAGTTACGTAAATATTTTGCCAATAACATTGCTGAGGGAAAATTATGGTTGTATTTTATAATTACTTGGCTTTGAGACATTAGATCGGCTAAAGATAGTTGTAACCAAGCAAAATTGCACATTATCATAGTCGCATGGTCACAAGTTTTATATTACTGGAGTTTCCCGATGCTTCGTGTCTTTGAACGTTTGGCTAGAATTATTTTCTCCCTTAATATTGTTTTTGTAACAGCAGAAACAGAGTGTGCCACTAAAATGGAATTTCAGTGGTCGTTGGCCAGCCTTCGCCCAACCAGTGAACCATTATGCTACATGCCAAGCGAGAAAATCCGCGCATAGGAAAATCTCGGTGTCGATAACAGGAAGATGAGAATGCTTCTTGGATTAGGATTAATATACCTCAGAAGTGCTAGATTATTGCAGTCTTGGAAAGACATTCATCTAGTAATCCAGCAAAAAGCTGAGTACGATGTTGTTTTGGGTGAACTTTTCTACCTTTTTCCCGATTCAGACGTATCCATCAAATCTGCTGTGTTTCTCTTTCATGTGATTGCTATTAACTGTTTGCACATCTTTGCTCATTTAAAAGCACATTTAGGCAGCTGTCGGTGGAATATATGGTGTGCTCAACAGAAGGAGAGGGCACGTCTTTGAAGAGTCGCAAGTTGCTGGAACGCCTATGTTCATCGTTAAAGCGTACTTGCCCGTTAATGAATCTTTCGGTAAGTAAATATGGATTTTGTTTTCTCTTTAAGGTGTTCTACTTGATTGTTAGTTGTGTCTTTTAAATAAGTGCTGAACAGCGGAAGTTGATAATGAATTAAAATTGTGCCATTTTTTACCTTGGTCCTGCCTGCTGCATATCATTTGTTTGCTTTAAGGCGTCTCTTACTACCCGATCAGAACCGACGCTATTCAGCTAATGTTCATCTTTCATGGCATTTTCCTTTAGTCTTTCTTGTTGAAGCTGGCTCAGTGCATGTGTAAGCTTCCTGATTTATTTCTGCCGAGAAGATGTGATGGACGTTAATTGCCGTCATTCATATTATTACTATGGAGATGATATACTTTGACTTGTTAGTTGTAAAGAATTAAATTGGTGCTGAGTTTTCTATCGCCGTTTGCCATAATGACAAAGCCTGCGCATTTGGAAGTACCGATTTGCTCAGGCCCGTCATCCACCCTTGTTATTTTCTGATAACTGATTTCGCATCGCATTATGATTTATATCGTGAAGTGAATCGACGGTATAATGTATCCATGGAGGCGATGGTCATCAAACAACATTCAGCCATCTTTATTCATGTGTCTATTTCTGTTATGTCGTCAGACAAATTCTGTTTGTCTTTGTCCTTTCATTCCAATATTCAGTTCAATTATTCCAATAATGTTGAAGGCGCCACCTCTCTGTATATGATGAGACTTACCTAACCCATGCTATATCGTCGCATGTTTGTAGAAAGATCGTTATGCTTCATCTTTCTAGCAGTTATATAATGTGCGAGAGATTTTGTGCATTCCCTTTTTTCTTGCTATGAATGCCCGATATTTACCGAAACACCTCTCTTCGTTACTAGCGACAGAAATTCGGGGTCTTCGAATAATCGCTAATATAAAGGGAGTAGGTATCGCCTGGAACGCGGCATTTCAGGTGCCTGCGTTTTTAGCTCATTTTCCTGGTCGAAAAATCCGCTTTACAATGATTCGGATACGTGATGAGGATGCAGCAGCTAAAATTTTCATGGTAGAGCCACAGTAAAGATGGCTCAGTGATAGACCACGACAAGCTGGTCCGTTCAATTTAATATTGGTACCATGAAGCCGGATTTTCATTGGTTTTTCAGCTGACCAGTAGAAAACGCTGAAGTAGATGCTCCTACGACCTGAAACAGTAGCGTACTTCGAAAATGAATGAAAGTTTTTCAGACAGTTTAGATCGCTAAGATATCATTTTTCTGTGTTCGCTGAGTTTTTTGCAGTATGTTTATAATCGCAGCGGCTGATTCTAATTAGCCGTACTAGCTATAATGGGTTTGCTAGCGAATTGCTAGTTTTCAGTATCGCAGATAAGAGTGACTTTTATGTAGTTCTTCGGCTTCGCGGCGTAGTTGTAACATCCCCTTTGAC